TCTTAAAGGACCGACTCCACATTGAAGTTATCAGAACATGGGGCACAAGAGTGGTCGGTCTAACTCTACTTGTTATTGGTGCTATGGGTATTAGGGAGGCCTCGGAAGTCCCAACTCCATGTGTTGCCTTAGAAAATGGTGAGTGTGATGTTAGTGTCTATGAAGCACTAGAAATCCCAACAGTAGGGAAGAAGAAAAGGGTTGGTTTTGCTACTTTTGCTACTGGTATTGTCCATGGCCTACAGCCAGATGCATTGATGATGGTGTTGCCTGCACTGGCGTTGCCTTCTCGTTTGGCCGGAGCTGCATTTCTAATCATGTTTTTGTTTGGAACTGTGGTTGCAATGGGCAGCTACACGGTGTTTATAGGGTCGTGTAGTGAAGCATTAAAAGACCGAATACCCAGAATAACAGAGAAACTGACATGGGCTTCTTCCCTTGTAGCAATTTCCCTCGGCCTCGGCCTTATCATTAGCCAGTTTTTCGGATTCAGTTTATATTAATCTTCCTGGTTGCAAGCTACCTGTTTTGTCACAAGATAATTAGAGAGGAATTTTAATTTATTTAGAATCATCTTTTTTTCTCTTATTACACTTGCAAGTTCGTGTATTCTTCAGCATGCAAGGAAAAGACTTGTGTCTTTGAGAAGTATTTATAATTTATTTATGGTAGAATTCAATCTATTACTTGATTTGATTTCTGCATTGCCATTTCTCCCCCCCCCCCCCCCCCCCCCCCCCCCCCCTCCCCAATTTATTCTTGTAAAATATATTCCCAAAAGAAGTTGATCTTTCAAGAAAGTTGTTGGACTTGTGTGGGTATTCGAGTAATGTTCTCTTAATCCTTTTATTTTTAATCCAGAGTATAGTTGATTATTTGGGCAGAAGTATTTCAGATTATTTAGTAATATAATTAATAATTATTATTAAAAGTACTTCTCATTTGAAAATATATTAAAATTATCAAATTTATATCAACAGCATATTATTCAAATAGTATTCACTTGGTCCTTTCCCTTTTCCCCGAGATATAGATTAGTAGCCATAGCTAGCCATACCATGTCCATTTCTGAGCAAAAGTATCTTGGATTGTTTGGTAATGCAACAATAATTATTATCAAAAATATTTTTTATTTAAAAATATATTACAGTTGTTGGAATAGGCAGCACACCATTCGAGTGGTATTCACTTGGTCCTTTCACTCTTTTCCCAGAGTATTGATTGGTAGCCATAGCCAGCTATACCATGTCCATTCCCAGGCATTAAGTATTTTGGGATTGTTTAGTGATACAATAGTGATTATTGTTAAAAATGTTTTTTATTTAGAAGTATATTAAAATAATATATATATATATATCAACACATTAAATAATATAAAAAAATTTAAAAAATAATTTTAAACAAAAAATATCTCAAGTTTAACAAGGTGGTTTCATTTTAATTAGAGAATAAAAAAATTGCAATGATAGTATGATTATTTTTTTTAATAGAAAGCATACAAGTTTTTTTTTTAATAGAAAGACCATGATATTTTAAAGAAAAAAAACATTGGTAGGATGTGCTTGGATTAAAAAAAAAAAAGTTGACAAAAAATATCTCAAGTTTAACAAGGTGGTTTCATTTTAATTAGAGAATAAAAAAATTGCAATGATAGTAAGCATACAAGTTTTTTTTTTAATAGAAAGACCATGATATTTTAAAGAAAAAAAACATTGGTAGGATGTGCTTGGATTAAAAAAAAAAAAGTTGGCTCAAGTCAAATCTATATAATAAGATAAATATGTAATCAGGATAATAAGGGAGACTTAACCATGGTTAATCTATAAAACATGTAGCACATGTTATGAGATTGATATAACTCAATAAAAAAATTTGAATAAAATCAAAAAGGTATTTTTTAATTAAAAAAATAATGTTGAATAGTAAAATCTTAAAAGAAAATAAGTAAAAAAAAAAACATTGACCTATGCTAACTTTTCAAACACATGACCTGGATCATTAAACCAGAAAAACCATACATGATAAAACCTCAAACGCCCCCTAAAAAAAATAAAATTCTAAAGGATAAACTCGAGAGAGAAAAAATCAATTATATAGAAAGATCTAAAATTGAAAATTAAAATTAAAACAATGAGGGTGAAAACTGAAATAAAAGATAAAATAGAGTATAAGAACAAAGTTTTTATTAGAGAGTTAAATTGTAAAGAAAAATAAATTTAACAAAATAAAATAAAAAAAAAATATGAGGACCACCAAATTAAAACAAAACAATACCATATAAACTTGGATGAAAAGATGAAATTAAAAATCATCAAAAGAAATAAAATTTTAACAAAAGGATCAATGATAAAAATTAAAAATAAAAAGATTAAGGACTGAAGTTAAAACACCAATAACAAAGAAAACCAATCTATATTTTTCAGGATGAAAGAGATAAAAGAAAGGAAAGATTCATTGGCAACAAATCACCTCTAAAAAGCATCATATGCGCCATAAAAAAGACAAGCACTAACGTATAAAGAATACACGCCCAACTTTTTGCTTTTTTAATTAATTAATTAATATTAAAAGACCAAATCATCATTGGTTGTTATGAAATTAATATAAAAACAATGTAAAAATATCAAAATATTTATAAACCCATGTTTTAATTTTTTTGAAATGAGCTATTTTTTAATTGTTTTTCAAGAAATTAACAAACAACCCCGTACAAGTTCAAAATAATCTAATATGAACCATTGTAGTAGATATCAAATTTTTACATAGTGTATCTTTTTATATTTATTATGGATTCACTTTTCATAAATTACATGGTGCATCTTTTTATATTTATTATGGCTTCACTTTTCATAAATTCTCTCTTTTTTTTAATTTTTTGCTCACACTTTTTTTTATGTGATTACATCCTTTTTATGCAATTGAGTTGAATGTTTTTACTAAGGATAAAATTAAAAAACAGGGAACCAAAATAGAAAGCATGCCACAAATTAGTAATGATTTCAAAGTTCACACAAGAAAGTTAATTTAGTCCTCATATTTTAAAAATTATACATATTTAGTGCCTTAATATTTTTCCAGTTAAAGTTTATTTTTGTTATTTTTAAAAACTTGATTTTAAAAAAAAAAGAGAGGAGTTACTAAATTTCAATGATAAAGAGAGAAAAATAATTGAGCCTCATTATGCCACTAAAACGATCAATATTTATGTCAAATAATTCTATTTAATAATAAAAATTTATATTACGTATTTTTTACCTTTAAAGTTCATAAAAAAAAAACAAATTTGAGCTTGGATAGATTTTTTTCTAGATTGATTTCAATTTTTAGAATAGTTTTTTGGTTTTTTTATGTCATGGATAGGTTGATCATGATCTCTAAAATATTTTTTGTGTTTTTGGCCAAAATGGATTGAAAATAGATTTTGAGGTAAAAAAACCTCAAGCTCCTATTTTCCAACCAGCCCAAAATGCAAAAAAAAAAAAAAAAAAAACAGTCATGCAAGCCCTAAAGAAATAGGCCAAGCTTACTACTATTTGGCCTTTTTTTTCTATATTAGGTTTTTTTAATCTTTAAAGTACATAAAAAAATAAATTTGAACTGAGATAAATTTTTTATTTCAAGTTAATTTTAATTCTTAAAATGAATTTTTAATTTTTTTACAATGTCACTGGTAGATTTATTATGATTTCTAAAATGTTTTCTATATATTTTTGACAAAATAGATTGAAAAACAAGTTTTAAGTAAAAAAAAAACCATAAGTCCCAATATTCTATCCATGAGCTCAGATATATTTTTTATTTCAAGTTAATTTTGAATTTTAGAATGAGTTTTTGATTTTTTTTCAATGTCATTAATAAATTCATCACAATTTCTAAGATATTTTCTATATGTTTTTTTTTTAAAATAAATTGAAAAACAGGTTTTAAGTAACAATACCTCAAGTCCAAATATTTTGTCCACTATGGTTCACCCACATTGCAAAAAAATATATAAATTTAAAGCAGAATCCACTCAAGATATAAAAACAAATAAGAATTCATTTGTGCGGGCTCTAACAAAATGGTCTAGACCTCACAACACCATGCCTTTTTTTCTATATTATTTTTTTAAGTTAATGCTCTTTTTATATGTTTTTTTTTTCAAATACAAATTTACTTATATTTATATTAATATCATTCTTTTTTTAAAAAAAAAAAACCTCTTTCAAATAATAATTATTTTTTAGTTATGCAATTAAATTTTAAAAAGATTTTTGAATCATCTATAAAAAAAAAAAATTTTGTATAGTTAAATTTTATTTTTGAAAATATTTTTTTATTTTAATATAATGTTTATAACATGTATAGTTTTTTGTAGTTTTTTTCCCTTTAATTTTATTTGATCAATTTAATTTTTATCTATTTTTTAATTAAATAAAAATTATTTTAATAAATAAATTTAACAAACAAGTAAGTATCTCATCTTACAATGCTAAATATCGTATTCTACACTTATCTCTTAATTTTTTCAATTTTATTTTTAATTATCATTTTTAGTTTTTTTTAATTTATTAATATAAAAAAAAAAAACCTCTTTCAAATAATAATTATTTTTTAGTTATGCAATTAAATTTTAAAAAGATTTTTGAATCATCTATAAAAAAAATTTCTTTTGTATAGTTAAATTTTATTTTTGAAAATATTTTTTCATTTCAATATAATGTTTATAACATGTATAGTCTTTTGTAGTTTTTTTCCCTTTAATGATCAATTTAATTTTTATCTATTTCTTAATTAAATAAAAATTATTTTAATAAATAAATTTAACAAACAAGTGAGTATCTCATCTTACAATGCTAAATATCTTATTCTGCATTTATCTCTTAATTTTTTTAATTTTATTTTTAATTATTATTTTTAGTTTTTTTTAATTTATTAATATACATGGTTGTTTTGAATTTATGTTTTAATTTTTACTTTAAAAAATTTTTAACTACAAAAACATGTCAAAAAAATGTATGTATACAACTTTTTTATTGAAAAAAAAATACCTCACCAGCGGCGAAACGCCTATCGAGGGTGTAGTTTACACCACGCAGCATGGTAGAAAAATCTCATTGTCATGTCATCGTTATCAAGCTGTTTCAAATTCACGGCCTGTTATACAAGTGCGATCCTTTTCACATTGCAACATCAATTGAAATCCAGCACTCTCATTTGTCACTTTCAAGATTCAACACTAGAGCTGAAGACTACCAAACTGTACGGTATCAAGTCTGATGCGGTGAAGGCACTGGAATTATCCAAGCTGAATAAAAATCATCACGGCCTCACCTTTCTGTTGATATCATGAAGCACGCAAATATCAGCCGCAGTTTTCATCTGAAATCATCAAAAGAATGGCAGAAAAACCCAGAATATATCAAAACACTTAAAAGGCGAGTGTGATAAGTTCTCTTAAATCCGTACTAATCAAATGTTTACTGCACTTGGCACATTTGGATTGAGTAAAAGCCAAAATTTAACTGAAACAAACCTTTGACTGGCACAAACTACATGCAACCATTTGAAATCTAGTACTATTTGAACTGCGCTATGATCATCTTTAAAGAAGAATCAATAGTCTAACAGCACGAACCACATCATTGCTAATAAAATGTTATGCTTTTACCATACAGCATTATTTTTCTACCAAAACACAAATTAAAATTAACCAAATACTCAAAGATTTAGCTTAGAATCTGAACAAGGCACCAATCCCGTTTTCCACACAAAGTGAAAGCAGTATATGCAATTTCAGGAGTCCCAAAAACTAAAATATCAAAATAAATGAATGAATAGAAATTTTAACATCCACTATTTTCTTCATTTTCAAAGATTGACCTCAAGTTCCTATCAAAATAATTGAGGTATTAGTTGGTACCTGAATCACATTCACAAGTTGTTTGATTGCCCATCCGAACAAACTTAAACCAACTAGGACAGAGATAGGTGAACCCTCTGTTATAGAAGCCTTTAAAACCTGAATGGAGAAGAGAATCAGAAACCAAGATAAACAAGAAAAATTCCTTGTTTAGAATGGATGAAAAGTAGACTTGTAAAATAATGACTTACATCCATCAACTTTTCAGAGTCATTTTTAGCAAGAAGAAACAGAGTAATATAAAGAACCTGCAGGATTAACAGTCGGATCAAGAGAACAGTGCTAGCCATAACATTATAGAAAATTTGACTACGTAAAATGGCAGACCTAAGTCATCATTACCTCACAGGCTACGCAACAATAAGCCATAAACATACGATTTCCATAGTAAGCCTTGAAGAGCCAATTAGTGCTGTCTTTCACATCTTTATGGCTAACTTTGCCTAGCAAGAAAGTGCTGCAAATTGATGTATTGAAGATCCAATGAAGTGGATTACACGTGCATGTTTATCCAGCAAGATTATATTTATGTCGGTCATGTAATGTAAAGAAAGAAAGATACCTGTACATCTGCAGCCAGTGGCTAGCAATGTCAAGGGCAAGCAATGACAGAAAAACCATGCCAGGCCTGCATAAAATTCAACCAGAAGTCTCAGATATAATTAGTACAAGTTCTTCAACTGCAATGAACATGAAACAAGTAGAAAAACCTTGCCTGTATACTTGGGAAAGAATTACTAGTAGGCAAGCTGTGCTAATCCTGGATAAAGCACAAGTTGATCAAATTAGCCACGCAGACATGTGTAAGATCCAAAATGAACTGCAAAGAGAAAAATTCAAATCTGGTGTGTATCTGATATGAAAAAAGAAAATACCTGTCTGTTACCATGTCCAAAACAGCTCCAAAAGTTGAAACTGAACAACAGAAAAGATGAATCAGATATTCCACATCATGCATTTATTTATAAGCATGTCAAACTGTAGAAACGGTGCAAACCCTTACAATGAAACAAAACGTTAGAAGCATGGAATGGCATTTGTTATACATTATCATTAGCCTGTTTTATTGAATGCTTCAAATTGTATCAACATAAGCAGCAGTGCTATTCACAATATTTTCAAATTGATAAGAACTTGGATTCTAGTTGCAGCTGAGATCCATAGCTTCATATATCCATGGACATTCTATCCAATTCAAACTCGAGGTGACAAAGGAAAACACAATCGCCCTCACCAAATAATCAGCATACAACAACCCTTTTAATCAAATATTATTCAAAATATTTAGTCGCAGACTCAATCCCAAATTGTTATGACATGCAGATTCAACATATGTAATAACTATTCATCGTTGAATCACAGACCACTATAATTTCAAGTACTCAGGAATAAGAAGACCAGGAAAGAAAAGGACCATACCTTGATTGAATTTGCGAGCACACCAACCATCAACACCATCACAAACAAAGCTGAAATTACAAAACACAAATCAAATCATACTCCCATTTCTTTCACGCATTGAGAAAAGAAGAAAAACCCTCCAATCACATTATGAATATAAATTAAATCACAACTCAAAACTAAAAGAACTCTTCAAGAACAAAAATTCCTCACCTGACAAAATAAAGAGCGCAAAATAGCCATTTGTTAGAAAAACATATAGCAAATGCATAGCAATTCATGAACACTCTTGTATACCCTGCATTGGAAAGAAATCCCATAAAGCAAAACATCATAGCATAAACAAAAACAATAAACGAATGTTGAATAGAAGAAGAACCCACCAATTATATTGGGAATGTAAAGATAAACACTTAATTTTCCTGGTTTTCTTGGTCCTAACTTATTGTTCTTGGCCATTGGAGACGCTTTCTATTACAAATACAGCAACAATAGCAAGAAACAAAACAAACCAGCCCCAATATATCAGAACACAGCATAACATTAACTATTCACATTCACAGTTTCCAAGAAAAAGGCCTTGAAAAGAAACATTAAATTGACCTGTGACAATACAGAGGTAGCAGAAATGACTGGACTCGACAGCGGAGTAGCACAGCAACGAAACCCAGAAAAGAAGATATGGGTTCCGTTTATTTTGAGGAGTTAATTGTGGGTTAAGACTCAATTTTGGGTTTTTAGGATTTTGACAATCAGCAAGTGGATTTGAATGGGACAGAGAGGGAGCTGGACGCCACGAGGCCAGCCTGAAAAGGGTGGAAGTGATGGGGAATCCGTTTTTTATCTTGGAAGGTGAAACTGTAATGGACTCGGTGCTTCTGTCGCTTGGTGCTTCATTTCTCTCGGTTTTGGGGTAGATGGGTACGGGTGGGCCTCGGCCCAGTAAAAAACAATTACTCCCTCTATTTTTCTTTTCTATTTAACCTTTTTCTAGACCATTCCTCCATGAATATTTTTAAAAATTGTGCCATTAGATCTCTGAAGTAAATTGATTCGATGACTGGGGTTTTCATGAAAAAAAAAAGTGAGGAGGATTTCCGAAGATATGCCATTGATTTTTATTTGATAGAGGGAAAAATTATTCTCTACTCAGCATCCAGACACAGGTTCTTTCTTTGGCTTGCAGTCTGGAACAGATGAAAAAAAAAAGTGAGGAGGATTTCCAAAGAAATGCCATCTTTCTTTGGCTTGCAGTCTGGAACAGATTTTTAACTAATGAGGTTTAATTTGAAAGTAATTTGGTTGATAATTCCTTATGCTCTAGATGAAGAAAGAAACCGATACAACAGTTCCGGCTGTGTCTAGATGCATGTAATCCCTGCTGCTGACTGGAATGTGTTCGACATCACTTGGACATCCCGGGATGGTGAGGTGATTAAAGTTGAGTTCTTGCCACTTCCTTCTCGGGTTCGACAGATTGATTTTTAGTTAGTGATTGTAAAAGCTGCCTCGGTACTTCTTATGATAATACTTTTGGTGCTCGACAAGAAAAGTAGTCCAATGGCGGCATCCTCCTTAAGGGTGATTGAAGTTAGTATTGATGGAAGTTGAAGTGGTAACCAGGGTAATGCGGTTGTTCTTTCGTTGGAACTACTACTACTACAACCACCATGTCAGTAGAGCTTTAGGCAATTTGACAAGGTCTCTCTCTTGCAAACGATTGTTTAGAGAATGCGATGATATCCAGGATTCAGTAGGCTCTGGAATAAAGTTTGAATGTTTGAAAAGTGGATGATTACACATTAACGTCAGTATTCCATTTATGGAGAACAAAAAAGCAGAGGATTGGTGGTAAAAATCTCACTTTCTGCAAAGTAGTGTCTTTTTTGTGAGGTTAATTACTCTTTCACGATTAAATCAATAACCTTATAGTAAAAAATTATAATAAATGAGAAGAAAACTCTAGGAATAAAAATAAAAATAATTGCTCTTAGCTTTATCTTTTAAGTGATAAACGCTTTGATAATGTATGATAGGTGAATGAAAATTGTGAATTTTTTATTTAAATGGTTTAGATCTTATATTTTAAATTTAGTTGTTTTTTTTAAAGGGCAAAAAATCTTTTTCTTTTAAATATTTAAGTAAAAAAAAGTCACCAGCAACAATAACACTAATATAAATATCTTATTACATATTATTAATGTTAATAAGAACAGCTCTAATATAATATTCATGTTGATTGAAATATATTCGGTTCATAAAGATTTTTTACTTATTTAAAGGTGTATGAAAATAATTATGCTAAGCTTTTATAAAAATCTTAAGGATAACTTTGTGATTAAACATGAAGCAAATAAAGATCATCAAATATATGTTTAAATATGAAATGATTTTAAACCTAAAAATATTAAATTTGATATCTTTTTAGACTTAAATATACTTAGACTTAGTGTATAGTTGAGATTAGAAAAGTTGAGTTTGGCATTTTTTTCAAATTCATATATTATTGAGCTCAGTGTGTGACCAGGTTTAAAGAATTTAGGTTTTGCATTTTATCAAATTAATATATGCTTAAACTTGGCAAGTAATCAAATCCAAGAGTATTGGATTCAATACCTGATCAAACCCACAAGTATTTGGGTTTCTCATACAGTTAAATTTATAGATATTGAATTTAAAAATAAAACTAGATCCATGTTATCTAGATTTGAAATTCTATCAAATTTATATATGTTAGGTTATCACCCTGCCTTTAGTCTCTTTTTATTTTTTCTATTTATAAACCTTTTAAGCTAAGCTAATAAATTGCATAAAAAATATTTATTTATTTTTCTATTTTGAATATGGTCACTCAACACTGGAATTGATAAAATATTAGTTGTTTTTGTTATGATTAGTAATTTGTATAAATTACCTAAATAAAAAGGGATCATGTTGCTTTTAAAAAAAAATATAAGGATTGAATTGAGCTCTTTTGAAAAAATAAATCAGCATCCTTAACTCTAGAATCTTCACATTAGAATTCATTGAAAAACTTGCATGAATGATGGTGAACAGTACGAGTACAGGAAGGTGGAATGTTTTTCAAGGAAAAAATAATTAAAGTTTTAAAAGAAACTATTCTAGTCTTTTTCTAAATATCTATTTAGGATATCAATTCAGAATTTATCAATTTCATTGTCAATCAAATCAGTTTTGAAAGGAGTAAGCCGGCTATCTATCACGAACATAAAGGGCAAAACAGATGTTTTGAGTTACAAAAATGGTTAATTTCTTGTTACAATAAAAAAAATATTTTCTATGATGTCTTGAAAAATCATTAAAAGTTAATTATAACTTGATCCTTATGGTTTAGTAAAATTAAATAGTTAGTTATTATAGATTTTAAAATTATAGATTTAATTTTTGTATTTCTAGATCCATTCATGGTTTTATATTTTTATCCATTTTGATTTTTTATTTTAAAGTTTTAAAAAAAATAAATTGAAAAGATCTAAAGATTAACAGAAAAAAAAAACATGTTTTAAAATAAAATACTATTGATGAAAAGATCTAAAGATTAACAGAAAAGAAAACATGTTTTAAAATAAAATACTATTGAATTAAATATGGTTAACTAAAGTTAAAATTAAATATTATTATTTTTCATTAGAAGAATTAATTAGTTTGTTACTAATATAAGTTAAAACAGCTTGGCTTTTCACTTTATAGATGAACAGTGAAGAGCCAAGCATTTTTTTATTTTGGTATTTAAAATTTTTGAAGAATTTATTTTAAAAAATTATTATTTTAATTTTATTATTTAATATTAAATTTATTAGGTATAGAGTTCTATAATTGATTTCAATCTACTTTCTATATAGTTATCATAGTCTCATGATCCGAATTACAAGTTTTACAAGTCATAAGTTAACTTTTCACTTTATAGATGAACAGTGAAAAGCCAAGCATTTTTTTATTTTGGTATTTAATATAAGTTAAAACAGCTTGGCTTTTCACTTTATAGATGAACAGTGAAGAGCCAAGCATTTTTTTATTTTGGTATTTAAAATTTTTGAAGAATTTATTTTAAAAAATTATTATTTTAATTTTATTATTTAATATTAAGTTTATTAGGTATAGAGTTCTATAATTGATTTCAATCTACTTTCTATATAGTTATCATAGTCTCATGATCCGAATTACAAGTTTTACAAGTTAATCATATTGACTTGGGTTATTTTTTATTGATTTTGTAATATTTTTTTATTTTATCCTTTAAAATTAAATTAATTGAGAATCAAACTTTATATTTTTATTTATTTATTTTTGATAAAGTCATCTCAGTCACTTGATCTATTTCCTGAGTTAAACTTGTTAACTCGAGTTATTTTTTGTATAATGTTTTTTTAATTTTGTTTTTTTTAACTATGGATTGATTGGTAATTGAAATTTATAAGTTTTTTTTTATATAAAATTATTTTGATCTCATGACTTGAGTCACGAGTTTTATAGGTTAATCGATTTGACTCTAATCCTTTTTTTGTCTATTATTTAAATATTATGTTTTTTTTATATAAAATTATTTTGATCTCGTGACTTGAGTCACGAGTTTTATGGGTTAATCGATTTGACTCTGATCCTTTTTTTGTCTATTATTTAAATATTATTTTTTCAATTTCATCATTTAGTATTAAGTTAATTAGGAGTTGGAATTTATAATCTTTTTTATTCATTTTCAATGTAGTTATTCTGGTCTTTTGAGCTGAATATTGCAGTTTAACCAAGGTTAACTCGAGTTATTTTTTTAAGTTATTTTTTATTTTATTTTTTAATTTAATCATTACAAATTAAGTTGATTGAGAATTAAAATTTATATTTTCATTATTGGCCTTATAGGGTAACTAGGTCTTATGATTCGGGTAGCGAGTTAGGTTAGTTGACTTAGGTTTTTTTTTTTAGTTGAATATTTTTTAATTTCATCATACAATATTAGATTGATTAAGAATTAGACTGAATACTTTATTTATTTTTATTTGTATTTTATGAGATTATTTTGGTTGTATGATTTAGACCACATATTTGGTTGGTTGACTAAGTTAACCCAAGTGGTTTTTATGTATTTTTTCTTAAAAATAACTACTATTTAACATTGGATTAATTAAAAATTAAGTTTCATGATTTTTTTATTTTATACAAAGTTCTATTGGTCTTATGATCCATGTTTAGCAGATTAACTCGAGTTGCCTTGACTTTTTTTAGTTGAATTTTGTTTTCAATTTCAGCATTCAAGATCTATATTAATTAAGAATTGAGTTTATATATATATATATATATATATTATTTGCTTATATAAGGTTATTAAGGTCTTATAACCTGGATAACGAATTTGAAAAATTAACCCAAGTTGATCTGAATAAATCAAATATACTGTCATTTTAGTTTTTAAAAAATAATATTATCTTAATTTTTTTAAAGTGAAATTATATCTTAATCGGTCATTATATTGTCTTTGAATATATTAAGTAGTCGAGGTCATTTTAGGTCAATCTCTATATAGTTATTTTTTATACATATAAAAAATACACTAACAACACATGATTATTTTTCTCATGCTGAAACAAATTAATCTAGCCCACGACATAGCATGAATAATAATCCAGTAATAAATTGTAAGCACTAAATTATAATTAACTTCATCATTTAGGGT